TACCTTGAACTTAGGTACAAAGGAGCCAAGGTGTTTTGCATGAGTATTCTGTCTTTCACTGTGAAATAAACACTCAAATATCCTACAGTCTTCCAGGTTTCTCACACTTCTTTTTTTAATAGTCTTTATTGAAATTTTCTATTAAAATATAACATAAAACATCATAGAGAAGCAAAAGAGAAAGAAGAAAAAGAAAAGATAGAAAGGAAAAACAGAAAGCAAGAAAAAGAAAAAAGAATTGAAAGTAACTTTTTTCTTCGTGACTTCCAGAGTGTCTTCTGTGAGGTGTTGACCGTTTCCTTCTTCTTCTATCTTCGTTCTCTTTCTTCATTACCTGTTCCTTCTCCCTTTCTTTCATCTGGGGTTAGTTCCTTTAATTTATATAAATGTCTTGTAGTTTTTGTCTTTTAATCTGTGACTTTTGTCCAATCCTTTTCTTTTACTGGTTTATCTTTGTTTTTTGACAGTAGATAGGGAAGTCTATCCATGTTTCTAATATCAAGAACTTTTTCTAGCCATTCTTCTATGTTCGGTATCTCCTGTTTTTTTTCCATAGTTTTGCGTAGCAAATTCTGGCCACAGTTGTTATTTGTTAGGCTTCCCACACTTCTTTTGATACTTATGATAAGAGTTCATGAGACCCAGAGACGTTTTCAAATTAGGAAGCACCAGCAGCTGGAGAGGCTGATGGTCAGCAGAGAGATAAGATCAGGTCAACAACCTATCTAGCCAAACATTCTATTCACAGATGACTGTGGGAAACCCATAGGCAGGTAGAGGCGGCCCTAGGTAATTTTCAACGGTAAACAAACAGTATTTTGCCCCCCCCCCAACAACTAATCACTGATATATATTTTCTGTTTGTCGTGGGAGTTCTGTGTGCCATATTTGGTTCAATTCCATCATTGGTGGAGTTCTGAATGCTCTTTGATTGTAGGTGAACTATACATCCCAGTAACTTCAACTCACTAGGCTTGTTTGATCAAGAAAAAAATTGGTTCTAAACTCGCTTCGTTTCCAGGGGGCGCCAGCGTTTCGAATTTCTGAGGACTTCCAAAATTTAAGATTTCAAAATTTCAAAATTTACGAAATTTCTTTAATTACGAATCGATTCGTTAATGGCGGACGCGATTGCGCAATGTGCTAAAAACACCTCCAAACGGGACAGGGGGAACATCTGAAGCATCCCTCTCCCTCTGTTGCTGACTGTTGGTGATAAAACTTACAACTAACAGAAACCAAATTCAAATAAATTCAGGATGAAATTAAAATACATTAAGTTAGTAAAAATACAAATTAAAATCATTTAAAATTAATTAAATAATTAAATAATAAAATAATAAAATAAAAAATAAAATAAAATAATAAAATAAGTAATAAGATAATAAAATATCTCCAGGAGGAGGAGGAGGAGGAGGAGGATGGGGAGGAAAGGCAACGCTGGCACCTTTTCTCTCCTTCTTTCCCGTCTTAATAATTACGAAATAATTATGAAATAATTACGAAAATTTGGAAAAATTGTTTCGATTCTTAATTACTCTTCACACTATTCCTGCATGGCTCGATATTGGATCGTAAGCTAATTTAAATACGAATTAATAATGACTTTAGAAACTAACGAACACGATCAAACAAGCCTACAACTCACATATGTCAAGGTCTATTTCTCCCCAAGAGCGCCTCAAGAGCGCCCCTGATCAAAATCAACTATACTGCAAATGCTTACTTTGCGTAATGGGTTGAGCCGCCCCTGTAGGCAGGACATGAGTGCACCTACACCTTTTATCCCACAACTGAAATATTGAGGCATACTGTCTCTGATACTGAAACTCATATGTATACATCATGACTATTAGCCATATATGATTCTGTCTTCCAAGAGTTTACATTATCCTCTTTACAGCCATCTCACTATCACTATACATTGTGGGAATGAATCCCACAGTTACCCTGTGATGTGGGAAAACGTTAAGATCTGCCACAAAATGATTTTTTCAAAAATATGTGGCATCATTAGGCTTAACTTAAAAACATTGTCAAAGAAATTCTAAACTACTCTGAGACTGAGGAAGAAAAAAAAATAAATGTCTCATCTTCTGGAGAAGAAAATACTCAAGAAGTTGGAGGGTAACCAAGAAAACCAACACCCTGATTAAGAACTCCTCCATAAACTTTGACATACGACAACAGCTATGTAAAT